TGCGTCTCTGGTCCTGGGGTTCCATTTATCCACTTCTAAAATACTATCAGAACTTCCTTAGGGCTGTCTGGAAGGTGTGAACATAAGGCCACAGGCAATGCTTATAAACACACCTACTGTGAGGTCAGCACTTCATGCACACATGTGGTTGTTACTATTCAGTTTGTTATAATCACTTTCTTTTCTATAACATATCAATACTAATCATTGCATTTTTTGCTTGTTAATGATTTATTATTTATTTATATGGCTATGTTCAGCCTGCAGGAGTATTGCCATAGCTCGAAGAGGCCCAAAGAGGGTGTTGGACCCCTTGGAACTAGACTGACAAGCAGTTGTGAGCCACCATGTGGGTGCTAGAAACCAAACCCTGGTCCTCTGCAGGAGCCGTAAGCACTTGTAACTTCTGAGCCACTCTCCAGTCCCAAACTACAGTTTTTAATATTATAAATTACTTAAAAATAGCACATGGACTTTGTCTATGAACTGCCCAGGCCTAAGGGACACATCTGCAGTGCAACCTCTATACCTAAGGCTCGTGGAACGTAGAACAGGATAAAGAAGAGGATACAAAGGAATCAGTTCTCAATAATGAAGCTCCTCATGCAGCAGAGGGCCAGGAACACAAAAGGTCACAAATGGCCAAAGTGTAGAGAATGAGAGTCTGCTAAATAATGGCCCTTGGACAGGACCCCTTTATTAAACTTCACCCACCCTAAGCTCAGGGACCATCACAGAAGAGGGGGTGGAGAGATTGTAAGAGCCAGGGAGAATGAGCATAACCATATGGATACAAAGTCGTACAAGCTCCTGGGAACCTGCTCATGTGATTCTATGGTAAAGGTGCCAGCACATACAAGTCCCATGCAAAGTGGCCCAGCATAGAACTGGGAAAATGAACATTAGACCCCAATCTTGTCTAAAGGAATGTTGGCAATTGATTGCTGCTAGATGAAGAAGAGCTGATTTTCCTAAAACAAGGGACTCTAGATAGGCTGACTAGACTCAGAAGATGGACTTGCACTGGGGAACAGCTGGGGGCACTGACAACACAGTGGACGGTAACAGGGATAACAGAGTATATGGGTTATTAGTTTTATTTTATGTGTATGAGTGTATTGCCTGCATGTATATAAGTGCACCTGTGTGGTACAATGCCTGTGGAGGCCAGAAGAGGGTGTCAGAGCCCCTAGAACTGAAGTTATGGATTGTTGCTAAGCTCTCATGTGGGTGCTGGGAACTGAACCTGGGTCCTCTGCAAGAGCAGCCAGTGCTCTAAAACCCTGAGCTATCTCTGCAGTTCCCCTTCACAGTCTTATAATGGTTGGAAAGAGGTGAAAACATGCAGATGACTAACATAGAACTCAGCATCTTCCTCTTCCACTTCCAGTCCATTTCCATATCAAATCATGTTGCTGCTGATTGCTTAAAATAGCACTGATAGATAACACAATGGGCAGTCACAGGGATGACAGAGTATATGGCCTCCAGTGGCAGGGGGTTGGGGGAGAGGCTATGGGAAGGTGCCAGTGGGGATGGAGGTATAAAGAAGATTGTTTGCGATGTTCTGTATGAAACACACAAAAAATAAATCAATTAAAAATATAGGATTCTAACTTAATTTTTGTCCAGTACTTTTGAAAAATGAGAATTAAAATTTGCTGTTGTTGTTGTTTAAGGCAGGTTATCATGTAGACCAGGCTGCCCATAAGTTTACTATGTAGCCAAGGATGACCTCGAACTCCTGTTCTTACCTCCCAAGTGCTGGGATCACAGACCTATACCACCATCTCCAGCTCGGGAACTAAATTTTTTGATTCATTATTTTCTAAATTACTTGGATAAAACAGATGTGAACCTAAGGTAAAAATAAAGGGAAGGTGACTTAGAGAGTGTCTGTTATTTATTTCATCAGTTAAAAGTGTGTACAAAATACTCAACTGCTACTGTACAAAAGGTAGGTGAATCGATGTAAAACGAGAACTCACGATGGTGCATGCCTGCAATCCCAACACTCAGAGGCAGAGGCAGAAGGCTGAGAGTTAGAAGCAAGCTTCGGTATCTAGAGTGTGACTCAAAACAACCAAAGCAAGGGGCTGAGGGTGGGACCCAGCAAGGGAAGAACAGAGGAAAAATGATGGCACAGAGAAACTATAGGAAAAGCGATCAAATCGGCACATTCCACGTCCAAAACAACAGCACGTATTAAAATAGAGCTACCCTTCCAAAGCAGTAACAGTGTGACCTATCAGAATTCAGTGTAGGCAACAGAAAACATACAGCCAAGCACAGCTGGCTAGGAATCTGGAGAAACAAGGATCAAAGACGTCAATCATATAGGAAAACATACATACGTGTCCCTATTCAACAAAACCA